ATACATAAACAGATATCATTTTTCAGCAATCATTAAAAAACTACATTTACGTTTTCAAAACAAACTTCCGTTTTACTTTTAAAGGCGGCAAATATAATGAAAAAAGGGTACTATTACCGATTGCCCCGAGATGTAGGGTAAAATCCAGGAAATATCGTAAGTGCCTCGCAGTCGTAGGTAATGAAATAGAAAATAGTATAATATGCAACAAGTGTGGTACAATAGTATATTATGCAACAAGTGCGATAAACGGCATTTGACCCATGAGTTTATTTGACACGAGCGGAGCGAGTGTTTAGTAAACGAGTGAGTTAAAAAGTATGCCGAACGTGTCGTATACTATACTTTTTCTACGACCGTTAGTTTTTGGCTACATTTTCGCAAAACAACACGAATACATTCACTGACATGACTGTCAGAATTGGCATACGTCAAAATTCAAAGGAGAAATATCTCCGAAAACATTCGATTGCTCCCAAACTCGTGTGGTAAAATCCCGGAAATGTCCGAAGTGACTCGGATTCGTGGGAAACGAAACTGACGTGGTAAAGTGACGCTTCCCGCAAGCTAGATCGGTGCGTAATTAGGTATTTCACAGACGGGAGTAGAAAAAATTGTAGTATTAAAGTATAAAATGCAACAAGTTTATACCTTTTACCCAACTTGTTGCATAATATACAATTTTCTATTTTCGACTCAAAATCAGTCACCATGTCGTGTACTATTACCTGCCATAAGTTCTTGCATTGAATTGCGCACTTTTTTTCGACATTGTGGGTGGCAATGTACGTCCATTCCATCTATATACATATATATGAATACAGCTGCACGAATGCTCATCACGGAGGTTTACTTAAGCGTTAAAATAACAAAGGCATGCCAAATTATTTTAGAGACCACCATAAAAAGCGTCATTAATGTCGTGGAGCATATCATCGATAATAATGAAAACTTGGGATCGGCTGAATCTGAATTGCTTAATTTGGCTTCGGCACGTAATGAATAGTTTGACTGCTCGTTTCATTTTGAACCTATGTTCCACTTTTGTGTGTCACAATTGTAAATGCAATGTTGGCTTCATTTGCTCAAAATATCCTTGTTTGTAATTTCACTTGGGTATCGCAACTAAATTTGCATTAATTATCCTCACCTAAACACAGGAGAATAATTAAATTTTGAAAACTACATCATCTAAGCAGGAACCTGCAGCTTCAGATATAAATAAGCGTCACCAGAATTATGTTGCGTAATGTAAATAACACGTATAATAAAAAAACAATGAAAATTAAAAAAGATTTCATCAAATTGATTTGGTGGTCATATTAGGTGATATTTTAAAAATTTTCCATAAAAAATGTAACTTTTGCTTTTCTAAAGTATGCTACCGAATTTGCCCATGAGTTGAATCGTAATTCATATTTTCTCCGCAAACTGTTGCTCCCAATATTCAAGAAATGCAATTTCCCAACGATCGAAACATACAGCAATATCAAAAAAATAACCAAAACCATTTTTTTAAAAATTTTTGATCATTGCATGTCTCATAAATTAAAAAATTGATTTAGATCGCAACACATAGTTCACATATTTAACGTTTAGATGGAAAAATCAGATTTTCCCGAATTAGGATTTTTAATATTATATTAATATCTTATCAATTGCTGTTTTGAATTAATTTAATATTTGTTATATTGAAAGTACCCTTTCTCATGATAAGCCTTAGCTTTAGAAACAAAATTATTAAGCTGTCCAATATAAATCTAAATTGCTGCTTTATACTCGTCTCATATGTGAACGAAAATTTAGTATTTGACATAAAAGTTTTTTCTTTACAACAGCTAGAAGTTATAATATAATAATATAGGAGCACATAGGGGGTACCTCCCAGGGCCTCCCGTTTAAAATAAAATATTTAAATATTTTCTAGTTACTGTTTTCTGAAATAGACAATAATAAAGTACTTACCAGCATTGCTGTCGCAGCCAATCAAAAGAGGAAGATTCGCCTGCTCACAGGAGGGGCGGCATTCTGGACGCCCTCTAGAGCGGCCTGGGACACAACGGGCCCATCTGGTGGCCTAAGTGCTTGGACGCCCGCGAGGGCGCCCCCCTTTAATACCAATACCAATACCAAGTACTTACCAGCGTCACACTTAGAAAAAGGGTTTTATCAAAACATTACAATTTAGGTACACTTTTGTCAGAGCAAAAGGCTTTAGATTTAACAAATAATAATAGTAACAAAATAATTTTTAGATTATAAATTCTACATCAAATTAATTTGCTGTGCCAAGCACCACTTTCTTAGTTACAGATAATATGCTTTCGTCAAACGTACAACACTATGAAATTGGAATGCTTTCCATAATGAACAATATCTCAAAGGGAATAATCATTTTGATTTGATCTTTTTTTTTGATTAGGCTGGATTGTAGAAAGGGTTTGTTTTGTCTCAGTAAAAATGCATTTCTGTCATGGGAAATTGGGGTTATTTTACTCGAAGAACTGCCCTTCAAAATACGCACTACAAAGTTCCGGACGCCTTACATACTAAGGTAAGGTCGCTTTTATAAAAATACTCTAGTAATAGGATACATTTTTCGTATAAGAGCATTCATGGCCCATTATTTACTCTTTTGCTAAGGTATGAATCTTGCATATTATGTAGAGAATACTAGAATAATAGAAACTAAAACTTACTGGACAAAAGTCCCCAAATGGGGCAAGCTTCCAGCGAAATCCTTTCTCTTAATTCCTATTTTCAGTGCTTTGGTTACTTCTTCCACCACCTGTTGGTATCTGGTTAGCTGAGGGTGGCTGTCTCTCGAGTGTCGTGAGATGGCTTTCTCAGTCGGGTTTTCCGTAATCTTTATAATATGGAGATGAAGATTCTTCCAGGAAAATGAAGGAATTGAGGAAACAATACAGGCATTTTGGTATATCCTGCGCCTTTTGATAGTATCATAAATAACACTGCAGTTCATACTGCAGACTTTCATAGGTCGGTTCCTTGGAAGACCAACGGGTTTCAATATTTTCTGTATTCACACTATAGTCGAAAATTAAATGTAGTATGTTGAAAAGGTTCGACTCATAAATTCATAAAATACAATAGGTAAATGAACAATATGTCGGCAGCTCTGTTAGTAATTGATAGTTCGCTATATAAGGCAGAAAATATAATAAGGCAGAAAAGTGTTGAAAATAAATAAATAATATATATATATATATATATATATATATATATATATATATATATATATATATATATATTCTTACGTATTGATTCACGGATGGAAAAATGTGATGACACTATATTCCGGGATATCATCCGTTCGCTCGTTGAACTCCGACTGGAATCCTGCAAATCCTGCATCCGACTGGAATCCTGCAGACGTTTCGCCAAAATCTCACTTGGCATCTTCAATGCTCTCGCTCCGAAAACACTTCGAACACAGTGTATATATATATATATATATATATATATATATATATATATATATATATATATATATATATATATATATATATATATATATATATATATATATATATATATATATATATATATATATATATATATATATATGATGACACTATACTCCGGGATATCATCCGTTCGCTCGTAGAACTCCGACTGGAATCCTGCAAATCCTGCATCCGACTGGAATCCTGCAGACGTTTCGCCAAAATCTCACTTGGCATCTTCAATGCTCGCGCTCCGAAAACACTTTGAACACGGAGCGCGAGCATTGAAGATGCCAAGTGAGATTTTGGCGAAACGTCTGCAGGATTCCAGTCGGATGCAGGATTTGCAGGATTCCAGTCGGATGCAGGATTCCAGTTGGAGTTCAACGAGCGAACGGATGATATCCAGGAGTATAGTGTCATCACATTTTTCCATCCGTGAATCAATACGTCAATCAATATATATATATATATATATATATATATATATATATATATATATATATATATATATATATATATATAATGTAATTGTATGCGAGTTAATTCTGCCCAGTGAGTAAGCAAAATTTATATTATTATATAATTATAATACGCTATAAGTCTTTTGAAAACATTGTAAATCAGTAACTAACGAAAGTATTGAGAAAAAATCAAAATTATTCCAGAGATTTATCGCAGTTAATTAACAAAATGAAAACAATGTAATACGTACATAAATTATTGGGATATTATAATAACCCGGATCGGTAGAAGTTTGGAGACATGATCATAGTAGTTGTACCTAGGGTATTGTGAATTTTTTCTTTGGCTCTCACTACCCACCCCAATGATTCTATCAGTTCTATTCGAAACTTTCCTAAAAATGGTTTCGATTACGTTAGGCTTCGAAATATTGGTTTCGTTTATGACATCGACAAAATTTGGCAGATTAGAAATCGGTATTCTCGAATTTTTGCTTCGCCGGATTAAAGAGTTCTCAAATTTCTTAAAAACTAATTCCGAACGATTGTTGCGTTATCTTCGCTTTTCACTTTTTGATTTTCCTGGTTGCTCAGAGCTTCAGATTCTGAACTTGATCGCTTCAAGTTAGATAGCAGCAGCTGTTCGTCCACCACCCGAGAAATTATGTACAAATTGTTACAGTTTATGCCAGTCAGGTTGTTTATATATACGTCAAGCTCATGAATCGGCTTCGAGTCGATCAGGCTATCATTAAAAGGCAGTTGCTTGTGTTTAACTAAGTTTCACCAATATCACTTACCAACAAAGCATTCAAACTTTTACCTATTGTGGTTGGTGAAAAGTCTGTAAATGAATGAAAACTGCCTATAGCAAAACTCTGTATAAAGCAAAACGTATAATGTTATATATGTATATGTTAAGGGTTGAATAACATTTTTCGGTAACTTCATAATTTTTTTTTGTTTTGTTTTGGGTTAACTTTTTATTTTCGCGCTGTGTATACAATACCCCCACCATACCCAACCTTGGTTAAGCCGCGCGAAAAGACAGACTTGCGTGAGCGTCCGTAGTGCGAACCACGAAAAAACAAGCTCTCTTCTGTGACCGGTTCGCGAGAACCCCGCGCTGTGTTGTGGTCCTTACCACCCCCAACCCACCAGAAAATACTCCTAAGAAAACCCGGCCGGGCAGACGACGACGCGGGAAACCATCAAGGTGGGTGATTAACCGTTTCGGGTGTTATATGTCCTACCGTTTTCTTGCCGCTCTTTCTCGTTTAAATTTTGAGGGTGATTTACAATCACCTTCCCCCAACCCTTTACAGTATATATAATGTAAAATGTATTACGAACAAAATTTGTTGTACTATTAGGTCTCCATACAGAGCTATGTATTAATCCACTCTGTATAACGAATTTCTCACTCTTTATAACGAAAGAAAAAAGGGCACATCAGGTAACAAAGTAAGGAATGTAGGTCGACTTGTAATTAATAGAGTCTCTTACCTTCTCAGAATTCCTTACCCTAATAATCTAATTACCGAGAACCTGGTCGTCCTAAGTGTTTTTCTCGTAATAAGCGATTATGTTAATGCCTTTATCGGTATGTATAAAAGCACACCATTGTTTCAATCAGTTTTAATTTGACTTAGTGAATACGACGACCATGGCGAGTAAGCGAAAAATTTTATCTCTAGATGATAAAGTTGCTTTAATTCTGGAGATAGAACGGGGAGAAAAGAAAAGTGATGTGGGACATCGATACGGACTTGCACCGTCGACTGTATCCACGATTTGGAAGTGCAAAGAAAAAATCATTCTGGCTGAAGCGGCAGGCAGTTCTAGTAAAAAACTAAGAAAGCCAAAATTTTAAGATTTGGATCGTGTTGCTGTTGCAGTGGCTCCTCTTTAGACCTATCGTAAAACTAAAAGCAGAAAATTTTGCTGAACAGCTTGACATTATCGATTTCAAGGCTTCGGAAGGATGGTTGGGAAAGTTCAAACAGAGACATGGTGTAAATTATGGACAGATAAGTGGCAAATCCCGTGAAGTCCACAGAAACGTCACTAATCAGGATTTGCCTACAACAGCAGACTTGACAGAGGAAGCCATATTACAACAAGCAAGAAAGGGCGAGGAAGAGCACCAAGAGAAAGAAAAAGAAAAAGTTGATCTGGGATCACCACCAACCATTCAACAAGCCCTATATTCAGTTAAGCTGCTAGAGAAAGTTTTATATGTATCATGGGGAAAATGCCCCTCTCGAAGATATGGTTAAAATACAAGCCAAAGTACGAGATGCGTATTGACATACTAAAAAAATTCAAAAGAAAATGACCGATTATTTGAAACATTAGTGTAGTTCTTAAATATTTATAGAAAATGTCCATAAGTAGATGCTCAAATATGTATATAAAATAATTACATATTACAGATCACATATGTGTATTGTTATTTTGCAAGTGCCTATAACTCGTTATAACGAAAAAAAAAAGCAGTCCCTTCAATTTCGCTATACAGAGTTTCGACTGTATTATATAAATTTCACACTGAACAAAACTAAAAAAGTATCTGTTTCGTATATTAATACTCCGCTTTAAATAACTTTTTGATTATTGAAATTTTATCTTATAATGATTGTGATAGTAAATTCGCTTGATAAAAATTTTTCAAAAAATATTAATAAAGTACTAAACCCTAATATAAAATCGGGTTATCGACTGGTGGTTATTCTCAATTCTAATTATACTAAATTTGCTATTTTATAGGGTGACTAAATTTTACACCGCCCAGATATTTCGATTTTTTTTTTAATGTAAAATAAAACCCAAAATTAAACAATTTTTTGCCTATAGAAGTATTAAAATTGCATGAGCCCTAAATTTCCACATTCAAAGCGTATGTAAAGCAATAAGAGGAGATATGCGAATGCATATAGCTTCTAATTAATATTGTTCTAACAAATACGATGCGGAATTTTTAGACAGTTCTACATTACCATGACCAAGTATCAGTATAACATTGTTCGACATTCTTTATAAATCATTGCAATAATAATAAATGCGGAAGTGTAAAAATTATGACTTTTACAATTCTCATCTTCAATAAAAATTTGGTAGAATATTAACACGGTTTCTGTTTTATTTAAAACTTGCGAAAATTATTGAATTTTGATGCTTTTAAGGTAATAATCTTCAACAAGATTTTGACCCTGATTTCTGATTCTCGGCTAACCTGTAATCAAATAACTCAAACTGGAGCGGCACCGGCGTGATAGGAAACTGAGTCAAATTTTACGAATAAAATCGCAGGCATGTAATTATATACATTTATATAAATGGGATACTGGGATGGGTCTCGTTGTTTAATTACTTTATTTACCGATATAATTCTTAGTGACATTATTATCATTTTATTAATTATTTGATGACCGCACAATAATTTTAAATATAAAATTTATAAGATTGTCTCAGGGTAAAAATTAGTCAAAATATGTTACAAGCACTTAGTTTCGAAGAAAGACGATAAAATGATGAAAATATTTCAAAGTAAAACGAATCACCCTCAAAAACCTAAGCAGAAAGAAGAATTCAAAAATAATGTAATACGATCTCTAATTACACTGATCACCTATAAGTACTTAACGCGTATGACAATGAAAATATTGCCATCTCTACTCGTCTCCGTCTAAATAAAATTTGCCAACTGTATTTTCGGTATGTAATCGCACCCATTGACAGTTTAGAATGAGTTCGCTGGTGCGAAAATATAAAAATTAATAATAATTAATATAACATATAATAAAAATATAAATAGTTGATGCTGTAAGCTACAAGAGAAAAATATTTTCCTATTGAAATAAAATACTCGCAAGATATGCCACAAGTTATATAGAAAATATAATATAGAAAATATTATTCATAGTACTTTGAAACTGACTGTTCAAAAAATATGAAATACCATATTTATAATATAGTGCCACCCGCTTGACTGCTTTTCAGTTTAGTACAAAATTTATAATTGTATATAGAAACCCAATATTCTATTAAATAATTCAATATGATAACGAAAATACTTACAAAGTCAGCTTTCCCCATAATGGCGGTGTCTTCAAGTTAGTCGCGAATTGTTCAATATCAATTTGTAGAGAGAAATCGGATTAAATTTTAGAGGTCCCAGGACATAAACCAGCAACCTCGCTTCTCCTGTTTCTGATATGTTAACGCTCACTAATTGCATTCTGCAGTTTGTAGCTGTAGTAAATCTGCATTTTTTTATGTAAATAAGGAAAATATTTTTTAATGTTTGTTTTATATTTAAATTGCCACACCCAAGTATTTGTAAGCGAATATGCTATAGTATAGTACGTAGTATAGATATCACTATCGAGTTAAAAAAATGACAATAATGTAGCCAAGTATTATATCTCCCTTGTGTATCAAAATATATAAATATTTTCAATTACACAGGATGTTTCACAAAAACGTAAGATTAAGCAAGAAGCTTTTAAATAAAAAGCGCTGACAATTCTCATTTTTCCGAGAAATTTTTATATGACACCAAAATTGATTTTTAAGTTTTAAAGCAACTCTCATAATAAAATCAAAAGTGGTCCTAATGTATTACAAAGAGTTTTGTAAAGCAGCTAAGTAAATATACATTTCGTTGACACCCTTTAAAATTAAAACAATTATTAAAATATAATACAATAAAAAAACGCCTGAATACTTTTTTTTAAAGGTCTACGGACATAGGGATTATTTATTAATGTAATATATCCGTGCTCTAACTGTTTTTGCGAAAACCTAGACTGAGCTTCGTTAGAAGCAAACAATATTTTACTTAATATTATCATATCCAATATCAACGAACGTGGAAATGCTGTTTTATTTTTCATTATATTGATACGTGTGGATATTGGAGGCCACCGTGACAATGTTATTCGTGGTTTTTTACGACAGCATTTGATTCAATTTGGATAATTTATCACATCGTGTTGATTGACTCCAAGACGTGTCAATAATAATCATCTGATTATAATATTATTTATTTATTATTCTCTCTAAAATAAGTAAGGGAGGCCTGACTATTAAATAATTAAGACTGTTATAAGTACGATTTTCAAAAATTAAGGCCGAGAGAATAAATAATTCCAGACAGGGTCGTTAAACATTACCCGAAGTAAATTAAAGTGAGCGTCTTTGATTAACGATTCCAAAGAAATGCAGCAATATAAATTATATTTGAGCTGGAGAATCGGCCAAAATTTTCGAGTTAATTTTTAAGATAAATTTTCGCCGTTAGTGAATAACTAAATTCATTTTTCGTAATAACTAAAGAAAGGGAATATCAAATTATATTAAAAAATTATTTAATGAAAAGTATCAGAAAAGTTAATTTAATTAAATTAGTGTACACTGGACGTTTCACGGTTTGGTACTTTAGACGTTTACAGCGAACGGTATATTGGATTTTTCTGAAAATTTGGTTAATTCCATAAATATTAACAAATTTTATATGAGACACCTTGAATATTATGGCATTTTCCGATCCGCCAGTACTTTATGATTGTTTTTGAATAACACGTTCTTATACCTATCTTAAGCGGTTTTCGAGAAAATAATTATGTTTTCAATTTTTCTGATCAAAACATAGCTTCAATTAAATTTTTATTAGTCAGATACCGGAGCTAGCAGAAAGTTAAATTTTTTGACAGGGAGAAATCGAACGGAACTTCATAATATCGACATTTGTTGTATATTAAACAGGGTTGTCAAAGCTAATGATTTACCTACGAGATACAAAAATAGTTAAAAGGGCATTTTATTAATTGAGCAAATTCCAAGAGCAAATTAAATTCTCTTTCGGGTGATGTATCGTTTGGTTTCTGAAATAAAAGCAAGATGATCTGCAAACTTAATTACTTTGGCATCTTTTTGGTGTTAAATAATTCATTTTACATTTCATTAAAGATTTACTCATTATTGATTGTAGTGCAAATTTTGTAGATAAAGTTGGTTCAAAATGAAAGGAAACTTAATGCTGTTGTTTTAATGAATTTGTTTACTGTGCATGGACAATGCAACCATATAATAGGCAGAATATGCAAAAAATTAAATGAAAGGCAACCTGATTTACAACACATGAGCACTAGAAAATTTGTAAAAATTAAGAAAAACTTTGGTTTGAAACTAAAGAATATGAAAAAGTATAAC